CATTCGTCCCCCCCCCCCCCCCCCCCTCCCCAGTCCATCCCGTCCATCGTCGGTGTCACTATTTATGGCTGAAGCAACTGGTGGGATGGCTCCGCCCAGCGGCAACATCATCTGGCAGTGCGTGTGCTGGGTGGTGGTGGTGGTCTACTGTGTGCTGCTGGTGCCCGCGACGGTGCTGGCCAAGAGGGTGCTGCCCATGTACCACACGGAGCACTACGTCAAGACGGCGCGTGACTTTGTGGCCTGGTTCAACCTGGTGCTGCTGCCCGTCAACATTGCGGTCTTCACCCTCGTCAGCATTGTGTGGTCCTGGTGGTGCCTCATACTCCCGGTGGTCTTCATCGTCATCGCAGTCGTCACGCGCAGATGACAGAGGGAGGGAAAGAGGGGCGCTGTTTGTCTGTCTGTGTACATAATAGCGTGTGTGGGTTTCTCTGTGCGGGGGTGTGGTTGCTTGCTTGTTGATGTGTGGTGCGTGTGTTGTTGCGTTGCCACTGAGGGAATGGATGACTGTCTGCACAGACGTGTGAATCCGACTGACTGACTGCATTGCTGCCCACATGCCTGTCTGTCATGGGCACGTTTCCTGGATTTTGCCCTCGTCGACACGGTGACAAGGTCTGTCCCTCTCGTAGTCCTTCGATCTCTCGTCGTTACTCTTCCATCCCACACGTGGCATCGTGTGTGGTGGGTCGGTGGCGGGGCGGCGGCCGGAGGACACGGAGGACAGACCAAAGGAAGGAGGAAAGACCACATCACACCACATGACACCAGACAGACAGAGAGCGGCCCTGTGTATCTGCTCGACATGAGACCCTCAGTCAGTCTGTCATCTCGTTGTTACATTGGACACACCTCCCGGCAGCTCACTGGCCTGCCTTCTGTCTACTACGCCCACCATCACCACCGTCATTCTGTGCCGTGTTAGTGCACTGTGGGACTGAGGTGGTGGCGGGGGTGATAGGCAAAGCGGGACAGAGAGCCCAAACGCATCGGTGAGTACAGGTAGAAACTCAATTCATTGCAGATGATTCATCGACTGTTCTTGTATAGCTAGCCTTAGCGAAGGACACCATCTGTTCTTGTATAGCTAGCCTTAGGGAAGGACACCATCTGCATCACCCATCTACAGCACCTGACCTGAAGCATCTCGTTGGTTGGATCCGTCCACCTTTTCCAATGAACGTACACACACCCCGACAGACACAGATATGCACCCTCCTCTCTCTGTCTTCCTCGCCCATCGACACACACACACACCGCACCACGTTTGTGCTCCATACCTCAGACCACACCCACCCTCGTACACACATGTGCCCACAAGAGATACATGCATGGGGCTTGCACACCCTCCCCTCCCCTCCCTGCTTCGCTTCATTCAACACACAACAACAACAGCAACACCATCCACACGATTCGTCATTTCTTGGCTGGGGCCTTGGCAGGTTCCGCTGGCTGTGTTTTGCGTTGATAGGGCGTCTTGCCGGTCATCTGGATGTACGCCGTGGCGTAGTTGACAATGTCGCACTGGTGCAGCGGATGACGCCACTTGGCCGCGCGGTGCCGCTGCTCTGCCTGAACCAACACACCACACCACACCGCCAACAAACGCCTGATGATGCACCCACCCGTCTCTGCCTGCATCCTTTCGGTCTCTGTGGCGTGCCGGTGTGTCTCTCAGCGTCTGTCTGTGTGTGTGTGTCCCCTCCCCCCCTCCCTCCCTCCCTCCCTGACCCTGACCGTCTGTTTGTCGAGCCACCATCCGTACTCTTGGCTGGACACCAGTGGCTCGGTGTACTTGTCCTTGGGGCTCAGATACCTGGCCTTCAACGTACGCGTCAGCTCCCCGTCATCCTCCACACACCGGGTCCCGCCAGACGCACTCAATGACACGGGGGGTGGGGGGCTGTCGTGGCCCTCCCCTGCTGCCGCGAGGTTGAGGGCCTTGACTGTGGACATTTGTGAGGCGGGCAGGGAGGCCGGGGGGGAGTGGTGCGGCCTGGAGTTGACCTTGTCGGCCACGAACGCCACTGCAAACAACACACACAACCTTTGTCATAAGAAGGATTCCGTCGTGGTTCTTCGCACGTTTCCGTGGGTTCAGCTGGAATCTTGGGCTAGACATAGCGACAGAGGGAGGAAGGGAGGGAAGGGGAAAGACTGGGGGGGTCCCTGTGGGCCAGTCTCATCCAAGCTCGCAGGCCCAAAATTGTGCATGTTTCCGCTGCTTCTGTGTGCTGGCGCTGCATCAGTGCCACGCACATTCGGCTGGCAGCCGCTCATCAGACCTTTCCCTCACCTGCGACTCATCGCACGACGACCAGATCTGCCCCTCCTCTCATTCGCGCACGTGCGTTGCCCTTTCTTGACCCTCACCTACAGCAACATGGCACCGAGTGAGCAACGGGCACAGCGCACCACTCATCCATAGAGATCACCTGCCTGCTGCCGCTGCCTCTGTCTGTTGTGTGTCTGTGTTGACTGACTGTTCAGAGAAAGCCCAGCGGAAGAAGGGTCGTGCCCGCGATGAGGATGAAGATGAGGAGCAGGATGAGCACGGTGAGGAGCAAGAAGACACAGACGAGCCGCCCAAGAAGAAGACCAAGCAGTCTGGCGGTGCTGGCGGTCATCTGGAGGGCAAGGAGTGGAAGTGGGTGGTCTCCACCAGGAAGCCCAAGGCGCCCCTATACCTCACAGTGCACAAGGTCAGCCAGGCCAGGCAGGGGAGAGAGGCCACGGTGCACATGATGCGTGAAGACCTATCACCACATTACTTACCGTCTGTCTGTCTATTTGACGTGGTGCTGTTTTGTGGTGTGGTTGTCTGCAATGAATGCGTCATTGCATTTCAGTACAAGGAAAAGACATACGTCTCAATACGGGAGTGAGTATGCGTGTGTGGCTAAGCTTGCTGTCCCATACCTGCCTGCCACCAGTGCACTGCCTGCCTCTCTCTGTATGTGTGTGTTGTCATGCACAACCCAGGTACTACGTTGATGATGCCAACAACCACAAGCCGGGCAAGAAGGGTATCATCGTGGTTGTCGATCGCTCAGACAGACAGGCAGAAGGACATTTGAACAGCTGAAGTGATTGATGTCTGAGAGGGTGGATCGCTTTCTCTTTGCCCTCTCCCTCTCTCCCTCTCTCCATCCCTGTCTGTGTGGGACTTGCAGGTATCACTCTCGATGTGGACGACTTCAAAAAGATCCAGGTAGCAAGAGGAAGGATGTCAGCTGGACGTGACACATGTGTGCACGTGTGTGTGTGGTCTGCAGGAGTGGGGCAAGCTGGACGAGGCCATCGATGGGGTGTCGGGCGCAGAATAGATAGATGGGCAGATAGCTGGGGCACGTGCTGGATTCTCCCCCGCCCACCCCACCCACTTGCCTTCCACTGCCTCGGCCGACCATACGTAGACAGACCGAGCAGACGACGACTTGTACTCACGTGTGGTGTGTAGATGAGGGAGGGTGTGCCGAATGGCCAGCTGCGTTGCGTTCCTTGTCACGTCGAACTCATGGCTTCGGTGTGATGGTCGAGTGCCGCGCGCGTGTACATGCGTGTGGCACTCTTCCATCGCATTCCCAGGACTCTGAGATCGGCGTGGGTGAGAATGCACACCGACATTCGCGGATGCAGGCAGGGATTGAGCGTTGTGGTCCGAGCGGCCGGGGTGTGTGTTGTGTGTCTAGCACTTATACAGAACAGTAGGGAGGGGAGGGGGCAGGCTTCAGTTTCTGTTTTTACTTGGTCGTGATGAGTAGCTAGCTGTAGGTGCATGAGGGAACATGACCGACCGACTTAGCTGACACACCACTACCATGCATGAGGCCTACGTGCATATATCAACCAACCCACAGTCAGTGAATCAGTCCTGTTCACTTCCCTCAGCGTTTGTCTTCCTCTCCCTCTCCTCCTCGGCTCCTGCGAGTATCTTGGCCACCTCTTGCTGGCTGGCTGCCCTCCTGCCTCTCATCTCGTCTACTATACCGCCCGGCAGCTCACTCAGCCGCGCCTTGGACAGCACCAGACACACGGCATTCACTGACAAGACCTCACACCGATACAGTGAGGGTAGAGACAGACCAGCGCCGCCGAAGAGCGCCTCGTCGCACAGACAGCACCTGAACACACAGACCAGAGACACGGACGGTGTCTGTTTGTCGGTGTGCTTCGTGGGGGTGTGGGGGTGTGTGACCGCGGTGGAATGATTGCGGCGATCCGCCAGCTCTGTCGGTGTGGCTGAAAGACACCCCCACCACTGCTCCCGATGCCACCGGTGTCTCTCTTGTCCTCCTCCTTCTTGGCAGGCCCCTTCTCCAGCAACTGCAGTGTCCCCGACCGCACCACAATCAGCCCGGGGGCCTCGACGGGCGGCGAGGCGAAGGCGTCGAAGAGCACCTGTGAGAAGTGGAGGGTGTTTATGTCCAACATCTCCTCGAAAATCATCGACAGCGAGTGGGTCTCGATGCCCGAGAAGAGGGACACGGACCGCAGGAAGCTGATCTCACACTTGTAGGAATCTGCAGACAGACAAGACAGAGTGTGTTGCAAACCTTGCTCGGCAGCCCATCGGTGTGTTGCAAACCTTGCTCGGCGGCCTCAGCGAGGCGCCGGAACACGTGTGAGGGCAGGATAAGAACCTCAGTCTGGTCAGTATCATGGCCCCCCACCCACCACACCTCATCGGCCGCAGCAAGGTCTTCCGCGCTGCAATCGACGTCTCTCTTGTCTCTGTTGCTGCGGCTCAGCAGAGCCTTCATGGATTGCTTCCTACTACTGGGTGGCTCGTTGTGCACCCAGTCGCCCGCAGAGAGGGTCTTGACAGACACAAGAGAAGTCTCGAACTCTCCCAACACGTCAAGCGCCTGACGGCACAGCTCCTCTGTATCATGCAAGACACACATGGCGTCCGTCTGGAAGGCGCATTTGACCTCCATTCCATGTACCTGAGACTCGCTTCATCTCGGCTCGGTCAGGCAAGCCGCCTCTCCTCGACGACGACGCCTTCTTCTTGTGTTTGTAGCTGCTGGTCGAGGAATCGTCGCCCAGAGCCATGTTGGCCTTAGAGAACGCCCTGCTCAGCACATGCCTTGATGGCCGCCGAGACGCATCGCGGGACGAGGCGGCCTCGGCCGCGCTGGAGCTGGCTGTACGCGAGCGGCCGGGCGGCTCCCCAATGGCTGATCCCGATGCCGATGCAGCGGAGGGGGTGCGGGAGACGCTGTGCGATCCGCCTTCCTCTGCTGTGCCTGACGGCGATCTTGTGCGGTGGATGGCGCGTGTGAGCTCGAGCATGCGGGTGCTGACGGTGGTCGACCGCTCTGGCACATAGCTCTCCGCATCCACCCTGGATGAGTGGATGGATCAATGGGTGCGGGAGGTGTGTGTGTGTTCTGTGGTCGTGCATTTGAGTCACTTGATTTGTGTCGGCATGGTGAACCGCTTGACGTCGATCGATCCGAACAACACAGCGAAGAAGACATCACCCGGCAGAAACAGCACACTCCTGATCGAGACACGAGCATACATACAGCCACTTCGGCTCCTTCCTTCCTTCCACCCACCCATCCATGCATTCCCACCTGGGCACCACTCGGATGGTGAAGTAGTCGAGCGCCGCGAGCAGCTCCTCCCGCGGCACATACTGCAGCGGCCTTATCCGCCTGAGATTGCGCATGCAGTGCTTCCGCTCCATGTCACTGAAGTGGCGACAGGCGACAGGCAGCTGCCCGGGTTTGGTAGAGGGGCGCGACGAGATGCGACAGGAGACGGTCGAGACCACCGACAGGAAGCGAGAGCCACCGCTACCGCCGGCGCGGGAGGAGGGGCTGTAGGTGTTGAGGCGACTGCAGCAGCCGTGCAGGACAAGCATGAAATCGCCTTGGCATGAGCGGATGGATGGATGGACGTTTGCTTACGTTCTGGCGGGTGGACATTTGGTCATGATGGTTGACAGGTAGTGGTGGTAGGCCTGGTGGGGATCTCCAGCCGAGAATGACGCAAGGAAGACAGCCAGGCCGCCAGTCAGGCTGATGCGATTCCTGCGAGACGCAACCAAATTGGTTAGTTAGGCCAGACGTCCGTCCCTTGATTGGCTGTTTGTTTCCTCACTTGATAAGTGTGGGTCTGACGAGTGGGTTTGGATGGCTCCGGCATCTTGCCAGCTCGAAGTCCGTCCACACCTCATTGGCCAGTGCACCCACATGCACACCGGACAGCGCCCGACACACCAGCAGGTCCGTAGGAATCACCTGCGACCTGCGTGTACGATACCACCTCACACATGTGGATGTCGATCTGTGTGTGTGCGCGCTAACGATTGCAGGCAGGCGAACTTGACTGCATGACTCAAGTCACCGTGGGCATCCTCCCATCGCCCCAGCTTCATCAGACAGACGCCCCTGCACATCCATCCATCCACACAGGGGCGTCTCCATGGCGCGGTGCGGTGGTGTGTGCTGCATGGCATGTGTGCCCTCGCTCACCTGTTGTAGAAGTGGAGACTGCAGGAGGGGTCGGACTTGACGCACCGAGAGAAGAACACAATCGCACTTGCCAGCTGAATTAGCCACGGAGAGAGACAAACAAATGCGCCCCGCGTGCCAAGTCATGTCACTGCCTCACCCACCATGTTGAGCCGATCGAGGCAGCACCCACACACAGAGAGGAGCACCGTGTCGGTAGACAGGTCGACTTCGGTGCTCCGCAAGAGGTCTCTGCATGAGATGACGCAGCTGCGCCACTCGCCCGCCTGGAACTGACGACGGATGATCGATGGCGGCAGGAGGGGCGGCTGCGTCAGCCGCTGGCATAGCTGCTGGTCTGCGGGAGCCGGCATGTCGGGCGGCAGCAGGGGGATGATGTGATGCGCGAACTCGGGATAGTACCCTGAGAGACACACGGTGGAAAGTCCAATTGTGAACAGACGTCTGGCTGGCTGGCTGGCTGACCTGGCGCGCTTCTGCATCGTGTGGGCAACCGCTTCTCCGCAGCAGCTTGAGCCCCCTGTGCAGCGGCGTCTCTCTCGCCATGCCAACTCAAGCTCCGTGTGGGCAGCTGCGCGCACCCTCCTCGCCACTTGAGGATGCGACTAACTGATTCGGCCAGCTGGCTGGCGCCACCCTTGCCATAGCTGACAGTGATGTGTGTTCTGCGGAAGGTGGAGACGGCCTTGACCTTCTTAAATGTCGCCCCTCTCATCAGCCCCTTCCTCACCGAGTGCATCGACCGCTGTGTCTGCAGCCGACTCAGAGGACGCCTGGCGGCGCGTGAAGAGGACAGTTCTTCCTCCTCCTCGTCTGTCTGCACGGGTGTCTCCCCGTCGACGGGCTGCCACCCCGTCGCCACTCGCCGAAGATGAGCGGCACGAGTGGAGGGGATGGGCCCGCGCTTGGCCTTGAATGACATCATGAAGCTCGGCATCAGGTCGCTCCCCAACGGTGACTGCTCCTCGGTTTCTTCAAGCACAGGAGGCCAGACGGGTGCCGTGCGGGGGATGACAGGAGGCTCTGGTTCCTCCTGGCCTGCTGCCTTCTCCTCCTCATGGCCTGCTGCCTTCTCCTCATCGTGGGTCGCCGCTGTTGGCTCTCTGCTGCTGGGGGCACTCGCCTCTGCTCCTTCTTTCCCTTCTTCTTCAGTCTCTTCAATCGTGAAGGTGACTTTGGACCTGAGCGCATAGATGGGCGGCCGTGGCGGCAGCGGCTTCGTCTCCGCTGCCAAATTCTCGGCGCTCTCCTGCCGGAATGTCCCTAGTCTCCCTATCGCCCTGCCGATCGTCTCAAAGGTCCGGTCAAGCCCCGGTGTCGTGGGCGCGTCGGCAGTGAGCGAAGCGGAGGACGAGCTGTATGATAGCGTGTGAATGGAGCTCTCGGGGTGAAGAGCCGAGTCGTCGTGCGGCACATTTGACACGTTTGAGAAGAAGGCCGACTCGCTGCGGATGTCCAGGACTGCTGATCCGCTGGAGATGTAGTCTATCACCTTCTTGTTACCAGTCTCCTCATCAGCCTGTGCAGGTGGGGCACCTTCACCATCCTCGCCGCCAATCTTTTGCCCGTCCTCGGCCGATGGGACTTCAGTCTCAGCGGGTTCTGCTTCTTCAGCCCCTTCTGCACTGACAGGTGCGACCAGGCCCTCCTCTCGATCTTCAGTGACACCTCTTTCTGCCTCCCCGAGAGACTCCCCCTTAGGCGTCTTGTAGGCCCTGGGCCACCCACCAGCCTTCCGGGCCTTCTCAGCAGCGGCGGACAGGCCCAACAATGGAAGCTCGAGCGGCGTGAACCGAGGTCCTGGGAACGTCGTGGAGCGTCCCCCAACCCAACAACTATCAGTTCGGAGTCCGACCCCTTTTGAGCCCGGCTCGATCTTCGGGAGCTGAGCTGCCTCGGGCAGGGGCTGCGGCTCTCTCTGAGGCGGCTGTGCAGGTGCTGGGGACACTTGTGCTCTTCCCAGGATCTTCGAGAGCTTGGCGGAAGTGTACACGTATGATGACGGGGCAGTCTTGCGGTAGGAGCGGCGCTTCCGCTTTCCTCCTTCCCCGGGCCTTCCGATGAGCAGCGAGCGGACTGTATCATGGTCATCGCGTGCGCTGGAGTAATCCAACCGTGAGCGTTTCATCTGCACTGCAACATTCATTCGAGCTCGCACTCGGCCCCCGTCCCCACCCCCCTCTCTTTCGAAAAAGAAGCATCATGATCGCACGTCGAGAGCTGATTGTTGTAGCGTCGTGAGAAATGGCAGGAGATATCTGACGTTCTTTGAATTCCGTCTTGCCGTCTCGGTTGCCGGCGCGATGTTTGGGTGGGGCAGCGGCAGCAAGAAGGACAAGGATGACGGGAAGGGGAGTCAGCAGGAGGAGGTCATGGCGGAGCTCATGCAGAAGTGCGCCGACTACGAGCTGGAGGTGTCAAGTCTCAAGCAGCGCATCATGAAGATGGACGCCGCCATGGAGGACAGGGACGAAACCATACAGCAACTCAAGTGACCATAGGACAGACAGACAGACAGTGGGACACGGCGATGATATCTAACTCTGTGTGAGTGAGTGTATGCATGCAGGACGTCTCTGGGTGTGGCCACTTCCCTGAACACCCGGGGCAGCAATGCCCAGCTCGAGGAGGCCAGAGAGGTCGGTGTGTCGGCAAGAGTGCATGTGCGTCAGTCAATTCAATGTGCGTGCCTTTTCACTTCACGTGGGTCGGTGCACATCATATCCCGTGTGCAGCAAGTCAAGGTGCTTCAGAGGGAGGTGGCGTCCATCTCTGAGGAGAAGGGACACCAAAAGGCCAGGGAGGTGAGCGACAAAGGCCGCAGGGATCAAAAGAGAAAGGCGGGCGTCTCCTCTCCTCCCTCTGCACCCTCCCCTTTCTGTATGGGATCTCTATGGTTGGCTTCAGAAGGAGCTCTCGGACCGTGTGTCAGCTCTCTTGCAAGACCTGAAAGACGCGCACGAGGAGAGAGACACCATCAGACAGAACCTGGTACTGTCGACAAAAACGGGATACACGATGCTCGGCTGATTCATGCCGTTTGGTATTCTTCCTTTCATCAGGATGCTACACTGAGATCGCAGGAGGGTGCCGAAGCTGAGTTGGCGGCACTGCGAAAGACGAGCAAGGACATGGAGGTGATGAAAGGTGCTCATTAGCAGGCTCTATCTGCAGTGTGCCGATCGTGATGCATCCGTGCAGGGGCAGTTGAGCGCCCTTCAAGTGGCGAAAGCCGCGCTTGAGAAGGGGCGGCATGAGGCCACGGACACCACTGAGCGGCTGCAGATGGAGCATTCAGAAGTGCTGAAAGAGAAGGTACGTATCTGCAGACCAGGATGATGTGTCGAAAGAGTCCGTTGCCATTGATCGCACATCGCTTCAGGAGGAGCTCTCGGACCGTGTGTCTGCTCTGCTGCAAGATCTCAAGGATGCACACGAGGAGAGAGACACCATCAGACAGAGCCTGGTACTTTCGGCGGACAGCTGGGCGCTCCGCTCGGTCATGCCGTCGGGGATTCTTTGACTCTTCCATGGTCATCAGGATGCTGCACTCAAATCGCAGGAGGGCGCCGAAGCTGAGTTGGCGGCACTGCGAAAGACAAACAAAGACATGGAGGTACGATAGATAGCGGCTGAGGAACAAAGACCGTGCTGTGCTCATCCGCCGTGAATCCATGTGTGCAGGGGCAGTTGAGCGCTCTTCAAGTCGCCAAGTCTGCCTTTGAGAAGGGGCAGCATGAGACCGCTGAGGCCGCTGAGCGGCTGCAGAGGCAGCACTCAGACGTGCTTAAAGAGAAGGTAGGCACCGACCGGCCAAGATGCGTTTCCATTGGTTCAACTCACATCTGCTTGCATCCCGTACGTGTCTGCAGGAGGCACTGGCTGAGCGTGTGCACGAGCTAGAGGTATCCAGCCAAACTCGTCTGTCTCCCCTGCCACCCGTCCATTCCATCCATGTGGCTGCTTGCTTTAATGAATGAATTGTGTGTATGCAGGAGGAGAGCAGGAGCTCCGTTCAGGCGCGTGAGGAGTTGGTGCGTGTGCGTCGTGAGCTGGACGAGGCGATGCAGCAGAAGATGCAGCTGGGCCAGCAGCTGGAGGACCGTGACAGACAGCTCACCCAACTCAAGGGACTACAGGTCTCTAAGCGTGGCTTGTAGTCCGCATCCACCCACTTTGTATGCCTGTGGGTGGCTGTGGGTGGGTGCTTGGATGGCTGCAGGACGTGCATGCAGAGGAGACTCAGCGGCTGACCAACGACCTCATTCAAGAGAGGGAGGCGCGCCGGCACAAAGAGGTGACACACAAGACTATCACTCTTTCTACCCGCTACGCTGTGCTTTGCGTCATCCACACACATGCACTGCACACACGTGTATATGTATGTGGATTGATTGCAGGAGGAGTTGACGGCGGAGGTCAAGTCGCTCCAGGATGCGGACCGAGGTCTCCGCGCAGAGCTTGAGGTGTATAGGAAACAGACCGAGGGCCAGGGGGAGGAGTTGCAGCACCTCTCCCAACTCATCACAGAGAATGCACGACTCAAGGTAGGTATGCACGTGTCAGTATGTGTGTGCCACCACACAATCAAACCAACACCCACCCTCCTCATATATATCTCTCTCCGAAAAGGCCCAGGTGGAGACTCTTTCAGCGGACAAGGGCGCCCTGGAGGGTGAGCTTCAGCGGCTCAAGGCGGGTGAGAGTGAGCTGCAGAAGGAGAAGGACGAGCTGCAGGACAAGTACAACACGCGACTCGCCACACTGCAGGTGGCCATGGCCACCAAGAATGCACTCGAGGTGGGTGGGTTGGGGGGTGGATGGGCACACACCAAGGTCTACGATTAGGAAGATACACCGTCCTCATGCAGGAGAGCAGCAACGAGGCTCTGCAGCAGAAGGATGAGCTAATCAAGAGCATGGAGGATGACAAGGTAGGTAGGTGCACTGGCCGGCCGATAGATACCCGAGGAGCCATCAATGTTGCATCCATCTCTCTGTCTTGTGCCTCAGAGCGCTGTCGAGAAAGAGTGTGAAGCCCTTCGCCAGGAAAACGTATACAATCATCCCTCATATGGGAGCCCATTCATACCTGCATTTGTGTGCCTGCCTGTGTGCTTCTTCAGGCCACCCTCAAGTCTGATTTGTCCGAGGCCGAGTCGCAGTCTAACGAGCTGCTGGCACAGCTCAACGAGGCGCGATGGGCCAAGGATGAGGCAGAGGAGAAGGCCAGACAAGCCGAGGTACCGCCATTGACCACGACAGCACACAGGCAGCTTCTGTGAATGTGTGTACTCTGTATGGTGACGCCCAAACAGGCCGCCATGAAGGAAGCTGAGGCGACGCGATCTGCAGCAAAAGAGACACAAGAGGAGAAAAAGAGGGAGCTAGTCGCTCTGCGGCAGCAGGTGGACGACCTCAGGCAGCAGAACGTGAGAAGATCAAGGAACGACCTTATCTATTCACCGCAGCCAGCGACTGTCCTATTTTCCTGTGTCTACCCACGCAGTCGTCTCTGCAAGACACGGCAGAGAAGAGCTCGCATAAGGCGGAGATCATGCGCAAACAGGTCGAGAGCATCACAGCGGAAAAGGCCGTGATCCTCAGCCAAAAGGTCAGCAACCACTCCCCCACCGCTCAGCCCTGTCTGTCCATCTATCCACCCTCTGTTTGTTCAGGTAGCCTTGAGTGAGCGTGTGGATGCAGCCGAGCATGAGATAGAGAGGCTGAGGTCCGAGCATCAGCTGTCGATGAACGAGAGGGCGAGGCAGCGCGAGACCGAGCTCCAGGGCGAGATTGAGGGGCTCATGAAGAGCCTACAGGAGAGCGAGCAGAACAGACTCCAGCTGCAGAATGACCTGGTACACTCGTGCGCGTGTGCCCTCTAAAAGGTGACAGCTGTCTCCGTGTGTGTGTGTGTGTGTGTGTTTGTGTGTTCGTCAGGATGAGGCCCAGCAGGCAATCAAGGACCTCCGAGTGAGCACAGTTCAGGGCACACCTTGATGAACCATGTGCACGTTCGGTTGTGTATCGCATAATACATGCAGGAGCAGCTGACATTCTCCCAGGAGGAGAGGAAGACCGTGCAGGATGAGAGAGATGCCCTGCTGGAGCAGCAGGTAGGTGTAGCACGTACCTTCTCTCAAACGAGTCGCCTATTCTCCCTCTCTCCATGCCTGATCCCTCAGGCCGTGTTGAGCACCCAAGTTGCGGACAAACAGCAGCAAATCGAGGAAATCGAACACGAAAAGGTACCTACATACCAAAGAAGGGCGATTGGTCCCCTCCTGCCACAAACACACTCCGACACACTATTCCTTCCCTCTGCAGGCATCCCAAGCAAGAAAATACGAGTCTCTCGAGGGAGAATTCAACGCCAAAAGCGTAGGCAGACAGAAAGCTTATCATCCCTTATCTATCTAACCGCGCATTAGCTGCTTGTTCGGTCGGCATGCATCGATCAGGATGCACTTGGGCTGCTGCAGAGTGACTTCGATCGCATCAACAAGGAGAACGGACAGCTCCTGCAGGACAAGGTGCGTCGGACAAAGGAGACACGAGACAGCCCGGAGCACCCCTTGCCTGCACGTTATGTTTGGCTGCAGGCTGGCATGAGTGAGCAGCTGGCAGAGATCGAGACACACTCGGTGAGACAGACAGACTGATGGAGCTCACCTCACGCCTCCTCTCATTGTCTGCCGCTCCTGTCCTCTGTTCGTTCGCAGCGCAATAAAGAAGAGGAGACCCAGAAGTTGCAGGGGGAGGTCCAGGAACTGATCCAACAAAAGGTCCAACCAACGCCAGTCGACAAAAGCGTGTCGCTCGTATTGCCAAGTCTGTTTGTTCCGTCTGTCTCGCTTGCAGGTTGCCTTGGTAGAGCAGTTGGGTCAGCGGTCGCGCGCGGCACCGGCAGAGGCTGAGTCACGGGTCGAGGATCTGCAGGAGAAGGCTCGACAGCGGGAGGCCGAGCTGCAGGGACAGATCGAGGGCCTGTTGGAAGGCATGCAGGAGAGCGAGAAGTCCCGCATAGCGCTCGTGGAGGAGCTCGACGCCACCAAACAGTCTGAACAGACACTCAGGGAGGAGCTGCAGACACTCAGACGGAAAAGCCGCGAGGAGGTACCTCCCACCTTCACACGCCGAGTGCTGACAGTGAGTGACATGCACACGTGTGTCTGTGTGTGTGTGCGTGTGTGGGATTCTCAGGAGGGTTTGCGCACATTCGCCGCCTCGACCCTAGCAGCAGAGCAAGCCAAGGAGCTGGAGACCCTCAAACAAGAAAACACCACACTGCTGCAGCAACAGGTGGACCGACTGACACCAATAACAAGCCACTTGAAAAGAGGTTCTCTCTCTCTCTCTCTGTGTGTGTGTGTGTGTGTGTATGTGTGGCTGTCAGACCTTGTTGAGCACCAAGCTCAATGAGGCCGACAAGGAGCGAGATGCGCTGAGCAGCATTCAGCAGGATCTCAACGAGGTGGCGGCTGAGCTCGAGCAGAAGGCCATCGACTTGGAGCGCGATGTCAAGGACAAAGACGACATCATCCAGCAGAGGGAAGCCGAGATCCTCGCCCTTCGCGACACTGCTGCTGTGTCGACACAGCAGGAGCAGCGCATTCGCGATCTGGAGGAGGAGAGGGCATCTCTGGTCACGGCCAACCAACAGCTCCAAGGCGATAAGGTGCCCGCTTCAGCAGCCAATAAACATTGACGAACATACATCATCGATCCCTTTCTGGCTGGGCTGTGTCAGGAGGGACTGGTGCAGAGAGTGCAGGCTCTCCAATCTGACCTTGCTGCCGTCAGGACACGCCGCATCGCACACCCCGACCTCCCTGCCGCCGACTGGGAGTCCACTGCCGATGTGCCTGCAGCCCGGCGGCCGGACACTGCTGTGATGGAGACACAGACCGACACTGTGGGTGATGAGCAGCGACACATCGAGAGGGTAGGGGAAAAGCTCACACCCACCAAAGGGACACCATATATATGGTGAGAATGCAGGTCGTGTATGTGTATGTGTGGGTTTCTTGGTCAGGTTGAGGGTGGGGGCATTGTTGTCGAGGCTCTGCAGGCAGAGATTGAGCAACTCACTGAAGAAAAGGTATCGACAACACACAACCAACCTACGCCTACCTGACGCAAAACAAATACACACATACACATGTATGTCTGCAGTCATCGCTGCAGTCGGAGCTGATGGAGAGCATCCGACAGATAGACGAGCTCAAAGCGCAAGAGACCGAGCTATCGGCGAATCTGCAGCAGGAGCATGACGAGCGCAGGGCCGAAACCGACCGCTGGGTGCAACAATTCGCTTCCCTGCGGGAAGAGAAGGTGAATAGGGGATGGATGCGACAGACAGTCAACCATGTCAGATGGGAGGGATCGGGATGGATGCTGGTCTGCGGCAGGCCGCGATGCTCCAGTCTCTGTTTGAGAAGTGCACCGCACTGGGCGACGAGCACCACCGGCTTAAAGCATGGGTCCAGACAGAGGTACACACACATTAAGGACAGTGCAACCCACGGATGCGCACCTCTCCCCGACGCACACAGGTCCAGCGAACATACAGGGTCCTGGCGAGCATGATCGCGTCATCTGCGGCGTCGCTTGTGCCGGCCACCGGTGTTTCTGTGGCCCTCGAGCATCCTGTGCAGACGGAGGACAAGGGGCAGGAGACCGACGTCGCACCCGAGTACGAGACGCCGCCCCTCGAGGAGATCGTGGAAAAGACCGAACGGGTTGGACGAACGAAGTGCGCTGTGTCTACAACGGCGCCTGTGTCTGTCTATGTGTCTCTCTCTCATCAGGATGTGATGAAGGTGTTGGGTGATCTGACTGTGGCAATGGATGGCCTCAAGACGGAACAGCTGATTGAGGTGCAGGGAGGACAGACAGCCACGCCACCAGTGACAGCAGGAGCCACCACCGCACAAGAGGTAGAAAGACAAAGAAGATCCGCAGACAGACCGCCTTGTCGACCATGTCTCTCTCCATGGCTTTTTGTTTCTGTGTGTGCGTCTCGTCTCCTCTATGTGTCAGCTGGACCGTCACAAGCATCTGCAGCACCTTCACCGCCACCTGGCCGAGATCTTCATGCATCAAATCGCAAAGGACAGAGCCGCCACCGGTCCTCAATACGCTGTCGCCCGCCCCTCTCACACGCGGCATTCGAATGCGCGGCAGCTGCGGAGCCGCCTCAAGCACCTGAGGAGCCGGGTGGAGAGCAACATCGAGAGGGCCAAGGTACACCAAAAAAAGCGATAGACAGACCGCCGAGCTCATTAATCAACATGCCTTCTGTGTCTCCATGGCACCAGGTGTGGATCGGCACGTACGAGTCGCCTCATGGCGCACCGCCCCTCCCCCCGTCGTATGTGTACCCCAGCAGCATCAACTTCTCTTCCTTTGCTCAGCCACAGAGGAAGGACGGCGGACGGATCGCAGCATACACACCGCAGCCAAGGAGAAATGTCCCCGAGAGACGCCAGTCCGACATTTTGGATGAGCAGCCTAGAAGTCGCGTGGGGTTCGAAGGCAGAAGGTACGATTGCATGCGCTTTCGCTCGTCACACGAGACCCATGTCATGTTGGTGTCACTGTGTTGTGCATGCAGCTTTGGGGCGGCTGTGCGGGATGCGAGAGGCGTCGGCCGTCCCATCACTGGTGTGCTCATCGATCCGAGCCTTTGATTGAGACACAAATGTGCGTTTGACTGTCACGCGGGGGGCATTACTCTCCTTACTGTTCGGACCATCGTGGGTGTACGTCTACATGGAATCTGTCGAAGGTGCAGTGCATCGCACGCATCCTGTCTGTCTGTCTATCTGCGTGGGGTCGTTGACGTACGTACGTACGTATGATATGCACAAGATCCAGCCACAGTGACTGACTCGCTCGCCATGCCATCCCATCCATGATGTGAGAATAATGTCAACACTTATATTCCATAGCTACGTCTACTGCGCACAGACGACGAACTACAAATTGGTCTCACCTCACCCGCTCACGGACGTCCTGGTGCTACGAATCTGCTTGGCCAGGGAAGTGGTTTCCTCGATGTCTCCCTCCTCCAGATGTGGTGGCTCGTCGATGTCCTGCAGCCCACCAGGGGACATGGGCCACCAATCAGCCACAACAGATGCGCGAGATGTGCCCCGCGACCACAGCAGCGGCACGGCATCGCTCCGGCGCCTCTCGTGTTTTCCCCTGGTGGCCTTGTCATCTGCTGCCGTCTGGCCGCTAGCTGCTGCTGCTGCTGCTGTTGCTGGGCGAGGACTGGCGGTGGGCTGCTGCGCTGATGATGGTGCTGGGGGGCGGGCCGCATCGCCAATGCCTTCGACCGGATGTGTGTCGACCGTTCCGCTAGCAGTGGCATCAGTACGATTGATGCGAATGAGTTCTCGCTGCATGGCCCGCCTGAATGCCCCCTCGTCGACGTTGAGCCCTCCTTCCCTTGAGTCCATGACCTGCATTAGGGCTGGGGAGAAACTGTCCTGCTGTCGCGTGTCCTCCATCAGACACTCAGCATTCCTCTGGAAGGCCTGGCACCCTTGCTGCAGCTCCGCCAGCTCCTTTATCTTTGTTTCAAGGTTTTTCTCCTGCAGCCATATGTACTGGCTCAACGTGGCCTGCAGGAAATAAAGAGGGACATAAGTTACACGATGCTTGTGTGTGTGGTGGGGGTCGTCTGCCTGCCTGTCTGTCTGCCGGAACTCACCTGGTCGTCGATGTATGCTGGTTCGTAGTGTTGTGTTTGCAAGTGCATGTCCCTCTCTGTCTGCTCCAGCCGCCTTGTCAAGGCCGCGTATGAGCTGCACACATAGACAGATGCAGACAGACGCATAGAGACACTGATTAACTAACTCATTGGCTTGTCTTTGCAAAAGGCAGGCTGTGTGTACTCGTCGATGGCACTCTCGAGGTCTTCAAAGTAAGTCTGCAGCTTCTTCGGGTCGCGGCCCTTCCTGATTTGCACGCAAGAGACATAGCGGCAAATGAACTAAGTGGCTTAGTGTGCAATCGGTACACCACACCATCCACTGACAGACGAACCTGTCTTTAAGCCTCTCCAGCAGTTTGAGTGCGAAAGCATGTGCCTCGTCGCTTGCCCACTGCTGCACGGCCACCATCTCGCTGCCAAACCTCAGAAGACGCGCATCGCTGGAGTCGCGACGGCTGCACCACCGCACACACAAGGACAACATGGACGGACGATTACAATCACCAGCACCGTACCGTATCCCCCGACTCACCCACCCACCTGTGTCTCCTCACGTCCCGCGCCAGTGTGTCCATGACATTCTCTGTCTTGGCAGCCCGACGGTGCAACATCCTCTGCTTACGAGGATTCGCAGGCAGCTTGTGCGGATCGGACTGCGTAGAGAATGTTATGGGTCCAATTTTCCGCACTATGTATTATAAGGTCTGTGAGTGTTTGTTGTTCACCTCTCCCGGGGGCACTTCGAAGACGTAGTCCTCCTCCCAGAGTATGCACCGCATCCAGCCGCAGTAGGGCTTTATGCATCGCTTCCAGTTGATGGGTGGCGCCTGAAGGATCGAAACAGTCAGTGATGGGGACCATACATATTATACATTTGTGCAGACATGTGCTCACGCAGTGCTCACGCACGTTGACGTCGATGAAGTGCCGATCGATGATGGCCAGGAAGATGTTGAGAGCGACGTAGTAGAACAGCAGGCAGTATGAGAAGAAGAATATCGGCGCCATGAGAGAGTCGGCCTCCTGCAGCTCAAAGAAGTCCAGGTCGCCCAGGATGATCTCCACACACCGCCGCATCGTCGAGAAGAACGTGCTGAAAGCCTCCAGCTGGTGGCCGAACGAGATGTGGGCGAAAGAGGCGAATCCAAAGAGAACCACAAATAGCACCACCACGAACCATCCGATGGAGGCCGCGGCGGTGGACAGAGTTCTGAAGATCATTGACCCTCGCACACTCCCCCGGAAGAACTTGAGGAGACGCAGACATATCACCAACACGTTGAGGGACGATATCTGGCGATACAGGCGCACTGAGAGGATATACATACAAGGGCGGGTAAGCAGAAGGCGCCCGCCGACTTGCGTCACTCACTCGGCTCACCTGACTCTGCGATTGCGTTGATTTCGACGAAGAAGGTGTCTGATGTGTCGATGAGTTTGAGGGTGGAGGGGATGCTGTTGAGCCACAGAGCGATGGACAGCAACGACATGACTATCGACATGACATCTGCAGCACACACAACACACAACACACAACCACCGAATGCACACCAACACAGACAGACAGACAGACAAGCAGACCGACCAAGGATGTTGAATGGGTCGTCAGTGTAGTGGCGGAGTATGACAGCGAAGAGGTTGTTGTGCTGAGAGCGGCCTCCTCGCCTGGTGGTGGTGTCGCTGCTCATGAGGATGAACTCCATCCGGATGTTGTGCACCTCCAGGTAGATGTAGTACAGCACCATAATCGCGTATATGCAAAATGGGCCGAGGGAGAACACCTGCCCAGGCGTCTTGAAAGGTTCGAACTTCAGCGGAATCAACACACGACGCTGCATCAGATCAGACAAACACACGCACATCATCGACCTAAATGACCTGGGCGGAAGGTCACCTTGGTGACGGCCCCCGAGGATTGCACGATGAAAGACCATGCCGTGTAGAGGAACGTGTCCGCGTTGCCATTATACAGGACGAACTCCAGTGTCACTGAGCTGGTGAGAGGGCTCAGGTATTCAACGCCGCCGAGCTGTTGCAGCCGCGCAGTGGCCTCGTCGATGTCAGGGCCGAAGAGACACAAATGGCCTGGCTTGTCCTCGTACCCGCCCTTGTCGCTGAAGGAGCAGATAGGCTGCAGCAAATCCTTGGTCGTGTCCTCACTCGTGTCCAGCGCGTCTCCTGGACTGATCGTCTGCACACCAGTGCGGCAAGGCAACACCCATGTAATGTAGGAGGGTGGCCGCTTCCCGCGTCTCTGGTGTCTGTCACCCACTTTATCGGGCCTGACTCGGGCGATAACTTTCCTTCCCTTGGTGTCCTCATTCTGCTGCTCTTTGAGGCGTCTAACAGTCAGCTTGAGCATAGGGTCGCCGATGAAGCAGTTCCACAAGTGCACGCAGGACCGGCTGGGCAGAACATCGGAGTCTGCTTCGCCGGACAGGGCGGGGACTGTGGCAATGAGCTGCGGCAGGCCGACGCTAATCCACTGTCTCAGGTCCTCGAGGCTCCCGATGTCCTTGTATGACCGGTTGTCGGCGTATTCGGCTTGCTCAAGGGCACTCGAGACAGAGGAAGACAGGATGAATGTGGTCTGCGACACACAGCAGCGTGTTAGTGTCAACGAACCATGAGGTAGGTGCTCCTACATGACTGTCGATGTTGAATGCGAGGAAGGTCATGTAGGAGATGCCAAACAGCAGGAACAGAAGCTTCTCACGCAACGAGTCGCTGGATTTCTGCAAACAAACAACAGACAGATGAACAAGTGCTCCCTGCTCCTTCATCCGGTCCTCGCCTGCCTGCCTGCCTGCCTGCCTGAATGCCTGACCTTCTTGTCCTTGTTCAGATACTCGTCGACCTTCTTCCGTGTCTCCGAGTCCAAATCGTCATCATCACGGCTCGCTGTGACTTTTCCTGCCTTGCAAGCCATCTCGTCTCCTTCACTGTCGGGGTCCACATCATCATCCTCGTTAGTGTTCTCCCGTGTGGCCGAAGCCTTCCTCGTGTGTGCGTCATGCGCTGCGATGAACTCCCTGTCCAGCCGCTTGCCGTCGTCGGGCGACGGAAGGCGGACGTTGAGGAAGTGCAGGAGGCTGCGGAGGACGAGGGTGCCGATGTCGACTTTCTCCAGCCTGGCGATGGGTTTCTGCAGGTCATTTTCCTTCTTGTTGGCTGCCTCTTGGCTCATGTGAATGTCAGATTGTTTGTTGTAGGACATGTTGATGATGGCGTTGATCATGTTGATGTTGATGAAGAAGAAAAACAGCAAAAAGGCGACGAGGAACACGGGGCCCACGGGATGATCCTGACGTCCGTCGACAGACAGCATATACACACACACACACCCACGCCACTGTGCCACTACTGTCGTGTACCTTGATGTGGTCATATGCCTTGATGTTGCCGAGCATCATGGCTATGTTGGTGACGATGGCGTTGCCCATCGAGAAATAATTGATGTTGGTCTCGCCAAAGGCCATCGTCTGCAATGATCCAGCCCGCCACATCAACACCTGCACGCCGTCCCTGTTTGTCTGTGCAGCCATACCTACCGAGATGTTGACAAACCCAGCGAATACGACAGAGACGAGCATCACAAAGAAGAGGATCGGAGAGACGGCGTTGTAAATGGCGTCCTGCACGACCTTGATGCTGCCATTAACATCGCCCAGATACTTAAGGAACCGCAGCAGGATCATCAGAAGCGCAGCAGCAGACGCCCGCACATAGACTCGGTATATCTGTGCCATCCTGTGGGCCTCCCACCCGAAAACGGCCGAGGGGTCGATGTTGGGCTGCACCACATACCACAGGGCCAGGGAGAGCAGCGACACGAAGCAGTTGACGAACGATATTATGCAGCCGGGGCGGGTCAAGTAGGCGCAACATCCCATGCGGAAGAGGTACCAGCACTCCCAACCGAGGTAATACACCGTCAGCAGCAGATACAACACCTCCATCGCCTGGAGAAAGTCGTTCCTCCTGCATGTATGAGACGAAGGCGACACACATGGGTTTGGCCTGATGCATGCCCGTGTGTGTCTTTGTGTTTGTGGTTGGTTATGTGCCTGTGCAATGCATACGTGCATACGTGTTGACTTTGAGGGTCCATGTGTCGATCTTGCCGGCCACCCCGCCAGACGGCCGCCAGGTGAAGGACACTTCCACTACGGCAAGAGTGTTCATGTTGCCATTGTACACCAAAAAATCCGTCAGTAGGATCACATGCGGTGCCGGAGCATCTTCATAGGATGGATTAAAGAAGCCGCTGTCCATGAGAAGGCCCTCCATGACCTCTCGGCACGTGCTGAAACTTGCGGTGAGGCACTCCGAATCGTCGAGCGGCACGTGCACAGCATAGCCGCCCACACGAGTGTATCCATCAGTCGCACCGTATCGCCACTCGCTCTGCTGGCCGCTGTTGGGTGACGCTGCCTTGTCCCTGCTCCTGAACGCATTGGGCAGGTCGATTGACGCATTGCGGGGAAAGGGGTCGGTCAATTCATAGGCAGGGTTCTTCCTCAGGGGCAAAGCGGGCTGCTGCCACGCCAGCGGATACCTGCACACACCACATACATGTACACACATATCAAGGCATACGCGCTGGTGAAACCTGTGTGTGTGTCTGTGGTGTGTCTTGCAGTGTGTGTACCGGCTTCTGAATCTGTCGGTGGGGTTTTCCCCGTGCAGCTTCATCCGCCGCTGTGTGATGCGCATACTGCCACCGATGACCTTGTTGAAGGTCTGCAGCCCGAGACTCCCCTCCCTCTGCTGGGCCTGCGGCAAGAGCACCCTGGTCATCCACAGGCGGATGTCATCGAGCGTCCTGATGTCCCCAAAGTACAGGGTGCGGCCGCCGTCGGTTGCGGCTTGGGTGAAGGGCACCGTGACAAGCGGCCTCTCGATGCTCTGGTTCATGCTGCGGCAATTTAAAGACGAAGAGGTGAGTTTGACAGTCCAATTCAGTGTGTGGACTGTGGTCGAGAGCACCCACCTGTAGACTCTGTGCATGTCGTTACGCCCAAAGATGACAATCACCGCCACCGTCATGAAAAGCATGAACCCCACAGTGTCTCGAATGCTGCAGTGCACATGCCAGTGGCCGGCGATTGGCAACAGCAGGTGAGACGATAACAGAGAGAGGCGCCCCTATCGTCCCTTACTTACCTGTACTCGTGCGAGTAGGGAGGCGGCGCGCGCTGCTTGCCCAGGTATTCCCCCATCAGCCGTTGTCTATTCCGACGCTTCTCATCAGCTTCAAGTTGCTCCATGATCAACGAAGCCGAACCGCGCGTCTCGCTGTGGCCCCCAGCGCAATCCTGTAAATTTTCGGGCTCCTCTGGCAGCTTTTGCGCGAACCACGGCACCCTGTGGGACGTCTATAGCCCTCCCTCGACAGTCACCGGCCTATGAAGCGTCTGTCGGGGGGAAACTACGGTGAAACAGCTCAGTCGCCCTTGCCAAGAATGCGGCGTCACAGGTGCATCGATGGAGACCGCCAACCGAGGAGCTGAGCCATCGCCCCGTAGCATCGGCATGTGTGAGTCAGACAGGCTCGTCCCGCCCTCCTGGCTCGGCCATCGGAAGGCTAAGCACACCCGCTCCCAGGTGCTGCCCGAGTGGCTGCGAGCGATCAAAGCCAAGCTCGAGGATGCATCGCTGGCGACCTCTGGAGGGAAGCGGCAGGTCGTGTGCGAGCCGCTGGGGGGCAGTGGCGCCCCGCTGCCCCTCTGCACCTGGCGGTGCTTGGCTGACAGAGTCACAGATGTGGTCGACAAGGGCACTGTGGACGGCCGAGTGAGGCCTGTGCAGCTGCCGCAGGAGCCAGACGATGGGCTGAGGTCTGGTGGTGATGGTGCGGGTGGTGTCAGGTGGGGTCTTATCTATGTAGGCGAGAAGCCGCTTTACTGTGATGCACACCAGGTGCGCAGCGAGCACAGGGAGAAGGAAGGGATGGGAAATGATTGACGTGTATCACGTGAACACGTGTGTGTGTGTGTGTGTGTGTGTGTGGTGAATGCTGTGCGGATGTGTCAATCAGGACGTGACAGTGCTGGGGGAGTTTGTGGGAAAGCTGGTGTCATCCGCGTCAGTGCCAACATCCGAGCGCCACTTGTGCCAAGACCTCCGCTTCCTGCACAAACCAAATATGCCATCGTCAGACGGTATGTATGCGGACACATCAGCACAGCACGCCATTCAGGCATTCACATGAATGCGTTTGTTGTCATGCAAGCAATGTCAGATGGGTGTGAGGTGCCGGGGGATGGTGAGGTGGTGGTGTCTGCGACGAGGCACTGCAACGAGATGGCCCTGGTTATCCCTGCACGCCGAGAGGTCCGGGGGAAGGTCACTCGTTGGACGCCAAACACACAGTGGCACACGGTAGGTAAATCAACGGGTGGGCACTTCAGCCCCATCTGTCTGTCCGTCTGTCCTTTCACCCACATCTGTGTGTGTGGTGTGTGTTCCCTCCATCAGGTGTACGTCAACGGCTGGCCACACATAGTGTTGACGACCATACCTGGAGTCGGCATCAAGACAGGGGTATGTATGTCAGCACCCTCATGCCACGCGGGATGCATCTCGTTGGCACGTTCTCTCTTGTCTGCCTCAAACAACATGTGATCAGGACATCTTAGTAGCGGATTTCGGCGATGCGTGGCTGCAGAGGTCCAGCCGGGCGGCCAGCGAGATACTCGTCCCTCGACTCGTCCAGAGCCGTGTCGCCACCCGGAGCGGCGATGGGCCTGGCCAACCGGCAGCATCCGCCTCTGCCTCCGCAGACGCCCCGTGTGTTCCCGCATCGCTGTGTGGAGTTAACTCAGCCCACCCCCCATCAGCCAACGGCGCTCCAACAGGGGTCCCAAACATCAAAGCGCACAGGATGCTCCGGGTACGCCAATGCACACACAGAGAGCATCGCGCAGCCCATCCCCCTCCCTCCGTCCCTGTGAATGGTGTGTGTGCCAGGCCGCCACGGCTGATCGTAGTGCCCGCACCGGCGACCGTCTGCTGGACGGTGATGAAGCTGACCTGACGGGGACAGCCTTCGAGGGCAGTGTGGGGGGGTTGGTGGCGCAGGGCGGGTCGATCGTTGAGCCAGTCGAGGTGGCCGCCAAGACCATACTCAGATCACGTAAGCTAAGCACTTTCTGTGAACAAGCGACGGACGATTTGCTCCATGCTTGTGTGCGTGTGCGCTTTGTGGTTGGCTGGTGGGTTGGCTGCAGTGTGCGGCTCCTCTGAGGTGTACAGGGACGTGCTGCCCGTGTTTGAGGAGCACGTCAGATGCATGCGCAAAGAACCGAACCGACGGCGACAGACAAACCACAACACAGCGGGTCAGTCTGGCAGCGTCACCACACCCCATTCCATGCATCCCACAACACAACAAAAGATCCCTAGCATCTCTCTCTGCGGCCGTGCCGTGGTGTGCAGGGCTGGTCCCAGGCGGCTATGTCCCGCTGGCCGGCGTGCAGCCAGGCAACACAAGACTCGGAAAGGTACGCAGATCACACACAGTGCATGCATGCAGACCGACCGGCCAGCAGCTGTGCGTGTGAATGTCTATCGCTCCCCTCTCTCCCTCCCTTGCAGGGCTTGATAACGCGTTACGAGGGCGGGCACTTCACCGTCGAGTACCCTGACAACACCCGGCGTCGCCTCTCTGTGGAGGAGATGGCCACGGAGATCATGCAGCTCATCGACGAACAGCCCAAGAGTAAGCCACAGAACCACCAGCACACCCACGGAGCCTGTCACATGGCATGGGTGAATCGTGCGTGTGTGTCTACTCTCCAGGGGCGGCCGCCTCCCTCATCCCAGACGCCGAAATCGACTTCCCCGACCAGGGGCGATCGGACTCACCCTCCCGCGCAGGCCGTTCCCCAAGGTCCCTCAAGGCCAAAGCACACGCCCTCATCGCACAGGCCGCCCTCGCCGATAGCCAGGGCGTCGATATCACCTGGAACGACGCCCAGACGCAGTTCGAGGTGACTGTCCGTGGCCACCCTGCGCACCAACACCAGTGCTTCCCCGTGACGTCCTCCACGCCCGTCGATGCCGCGTGGAAGAGCGTGCTGCTCTACTGCAGTCGCCACCTCCAGCAACGGCACAACGGCGCGGCACAGGGAAGGGGAGAGGCGAGGGCCTCAGCGGGTGCTGACAAGGACCGGCCGGCATCGCGGTCGCAGGTCGGCATCCAGCTCCCCACTGTGTATGGCGTCACTTGGCGAGACATGGGCTTCGACGCGCGCATCGGCGACGCCAGCCAGCGCTTCAGGGCCCCCACCGCCAGCGACAGCGATCGGCTGACGGCCTACATCTCTGCCGTCACATTCGTCAAGAACTACGCCAGCCAGCCGGTCAAGGCCATGGATGAGGGCCAGCGCACACGCATCCTGGCGACCTACTCGAGTGCGCTGGAGACGGCCCTGCGGCAGCTGACCGATCTGGCCAGCGAGCAGCTGCCCCAGCACCTCTCGCCCATCAACCCTTTGGCACTGCCCCTGTGCGACAACGAGACGGTGCAGCGCAAGATGCACCAGCTGGCCGAGAAGGACCGGCTCAGCAAGAGCCAGCGGTCGAGGACGGACGAGTCGCTCATTCAGGAGGCTGCGCAGATGGCGCCCGAGCCGGGCTGCAAATTCGTGTGGCTGTCCCGCGGGTGGATTGCCAACGTTGGCAACGAGCACCACGCCTTCTTCTCGATGGAGGAGTATGGAGGTCTAGCGGCATCTCAGCAGGCCGCCGCCAAGTGGAGGCGCCACGTCATCAACCAGCAGCAGCGGCAGGAGGACGGCAACGACTCGGGCAGTGAGGAGGAGGAGGAGGAGGAGGAGGACTCTCAGGCCCCCGACCACCAGCCCGTGAAGCGGTCGTCCCGCCGCCCCCGTCGCCAGGTCTCGGCCAACATCAAGGACTATTCGTCCATCGCCGACGCCAATCGCGGTGACAGACCAGCCAGGGGGGCCGACAAAGACGACCCACAGGTCCTCCAGCAGCAGGCGGCGAGCCTTCCGCCGGTGCCGGGGGTGTGGTGGAGCCACAACCGCGGGCCGGGGTTCGCCACCAACCGCGACGGGGAGTTGTTTGCGGTCAAGAGGTATGGCAGTGTTGTGGAGGCGTACCGTGCGGCGGTCGCATGCGTCAAGAGGATCGACGTGGCAGAGGTCCAGATACCCGGCCAGGAGGACAAACAAGGTCGGCGGG